GTGATGATGCAGCAGTACTAATTGACCAAGATCGAAATGTTGGTCACCGACAGGGTCTCGTGACTGCTGACATCTTCAGACGCATTGCAGAACAGCAGGGACTCCGGGCAGACGCGACAATGGAGACTCGCTATCTAGGGATCACAGCCACGGACATGCAGAATGCATACAACAACTTGCCACAGCATCTCCATCAAATTGCGCAGATGCAGAACAACGACAACGAGCAAGAGGTGGAGGAGGACGAAGAGGAGGAGGAGGATGAGGAGGGTCAGCAGGCGGAACAAGGACGGAGAAAGAAGCGAGGACTTTTAAGAAAAGGCGGGGCACGGGTGAGAAACATCTAACAAGATAGGGCGACTTATAACAGAAACGGGATTGATTGTGAAGGAAAAAAGAAGGAAAATAAAGACGGCGGAAGAATACCGGAGAACAGTGTTCGGTAATGAAATTTCACGAGGCGGATCGGGCACCGGGCTAATGTTGATTGTGCCTGAGCGACAATCAGGATAGGATCTTTTTTCACTTTTGAAGAACACTAAAAGGAGGATCTATAAGTCCTGCACGAGGATCTTCTTTGTTTGCTTTCTTCACTGGGATCTAGTTCTTCTGCCATCAGCATTCCTCTCATTCTATGCACCTTGCTCTTTTGCATTAGTCCTCGCTCTCGCTCTTGATCTTTTCCGATCTTGTAATGCACAACCACTGGTCCCTGGTGAGATCTATTGACATATACGGTCTACAGTAGAAGAGCAACCTGTAATGCATATTTCGAAAAATAAACAAAAGTGAAAAAAGAAAAATGACATGGCCGAGGAAAAGGGAGGTATTCAAGATCGCTATTGGTAATTTTAATCCGTTCCTTTTTGTCTAAGACATTTTCTAGAAGTAATAAGGTAGAAATAGCAACAGATAAGAGAAGATAATCACTTGAGACTCGGGTCGACATTTGGGACGAGTACCTTGGCCCGGGCGGGATGCTCTTTCACAATGTGCAACAAAAACACCTGAACTGTCTCCTCCCCGGCGGATACGTACTGGGGCAGGTTTTGAATCTCGGGCGGGACCCCAAGACGAAAGCAGTGACCAACGGGTTTTTCTGGGTGCAGCCGCTCCGCGCGACGAGAATCGGGGAGTGGAGATCGGAGCGGACTGAACGGTATGGCGTGCTCAGACGTATACAATCTCAAGTGTTCTTACAATTGAAACAAGGTAAATCTGTCATGCAAAAAGTGCAGCATCTAGGTTAGGTAGCCTACTGTCACAGAATTGCGCATGACAAGTTCAGAAGCTCCAATCCCGATGAGACTCTGGCGAAATTTGTATTGCGAAAACCGCAAAGCTCTGCATCCATGTTCCTCATGCTCTCTATGCAACACAAAGACAAAATCCACCAGTGACTCTATTGTAACGTTTGAGATTGGTCACACCTGAGCAGGTCATAGGGAGGACAAGGAACTTCTGAAACGACTCCAGGCACTACTAGCTACTTTCCCCCGGCTGTGGCGGCCGTGCAGTTGCGGTCGTCTGCCTTGACCGCAAGCAGCAGCGATGGCGGCAAGGGCAAGATGGGAACTGGTAGTTCGATGAAGAGAACAGGACGGGGAGGAGGCAGCGGCGGGAAAGGTGGCGGCAGAAGTCCGGCGTCTCGTCATAGATTCACGTCGCCCGTGGGACGCGGGAATGGTGAAAACGCAACTGGAGGACCGATTGCGATTTCCATCAGCGACAGCCTGTCTCGCGGCGAGAGTCGTGGCAGCATACCAATTGCAAAAAGGGCGGGATCTCGTGGGGGTGCTTTCCCCGACAGCACCCGGGGACGGTTACGAGGCAGTGGCGGTAAAGGTGGCGGCAAGAACGATGTTGCTCCCAGAATGATAGAGATCACAAAACAAATAGGCGACTGCGCTAAGGCAGGCAACGTTACGGGCGCAGAACGTGTCTTCAACAGCATGCAAGCCGAAGGCCTGGAGCCGGATGTCCGCGCTTACTGCG